ATATTAAAATAATATGTATAAAATGAAAAGAATTTAGATCAGTGTTATTGAAACATTTTACAGTTTAAGATACCCACACAAGTGTAAAATCATTTTATTGAATTCTTCTTCGTTGCAACGACAGAATTAATATAATATTAAAAAATTCAATGTAATATATCTAAAATAATAATTCGTAGGGTTAATTTTATGGGGATCTGAAGATCACTAATTTAGATCATCGATTAAAAGTTCTGTTAGTTTTTTAATACAAAAAAAAAGAATTGAATATTTCTATAAAGTTTTCTCATAGAAAGAGAGACAGAGAAAGATAATAAAAATAATAAAAATAAAATGAAAATCCTGTTTGGATTTAAATCAAATTTATATTTATCTTTCTATATAGAGATACTTTTATAAATTTAAATCTTTCCTTTTTGAATTTTTATGTTATATTTTTGTATGAAATTTCTCGAGCTTCGATAACTTTTGAAAGGAAGTAAATGTTAGAAAAAGATAAAGAAACAGAAATGATCACTCTCTCTCTCTCTCTCTCTTTTTCTTTTGGTACAGAAGCCCCCAAAAAACCCTGCACGACATTTTCTGGTTGGAAAATATGAGAGGCTGAGGTAGCTTTAGGAGGGATATTATAAGAATGAGCGGTCTAGCGTGATCGAGGGTGCACGTGCGTAAAGTTGCCGGTGGGTGCTGAAGGAGCTGTGAGAAGTTATGAAAAGGGAGAGTGGCACGAATGTTCGCCGTGATTCAAGGGTCATATCGTAAAACGGGCCATATTTTAAAGGTGCCGGAATGCTACCAAGACCCTTATCCGATTTTTCTTTTGTTTTCGAAGCAACATCGAGATAATATAACGAATGGAAATAATATTCCTACAATTTATGAATTTTTTTCTTAGAAAATTATATTCCTTATTAGAAAATTTCTTCTTTTTTTTTTTTTAAGAAAATAATGTCATTACACGTTTCATTAATTCACGTTAATATTTGTTTTGTTTTATTTATCATTTATTTTATTCTATTTCTATTTTTAGGGATTTAATTTCGAGATAATATAACTAATAGAAATATTATCTCTACAATTTATAAATTTTTCCTATAAAAAGTATATTCTTTATTAGAAAATTTCTTCTTTTTTTTTTTTTTAAAAATAACGTCATTAAACGACGTTTCTTTCATTAATTCACGTTAATATTTGTTTTGTTTTTTTAATCATTTATATTTTATTCCATCTATATTTTTAGGGATTTAATTTTAGTTAGCAAAGTAACAAACAACTTGAATTACACACATTTCTATCGTGCGTTTTTCCTTGACGACTTTTTAATAACAATCACTATCCCTCTCTCTTACTCTTATTCTATTTCCATCATTCTTTCTTGATTTTAATTAAAAAAAATTCTTGTTAATCTTGCAATACAATAATTACTTTACCTTACTCGCAATTCAATTTCTGCTTTGACATTAACACGAAGTTACGTTTTAATGGATTTTCCTTATATTAGACGAAATTGAAATTTCGTGCTTGCCAGACGAGTGCAGTTGTTTGACAGGATATGCTTGATGGCCACCCTCACCCCTCACCCCCCCCTTCCTTCCTTCTTCCCTTCCTTCTTCTCGATATAAATCGAGGATGAGTGGGGTAAACGTGATACTGGTGGTGTTGTCGACGATTAGTTTTCACCGAACACCCGTTGTATAGCGTAACGCAATATAAACACCTTATGATTGCCCTTTGGGGATACGTTCCTCCAACCCATGTAACGATAAAGCCACTTATTTATAGGATCTGTGGTCAGAAGGGTGAAACGGTTCAAGGGTCGTGCCCGTGATTCGCCTTTAAACGGCTCTGTATAAGGGAGAAATAGATGGATAGATAGATAGATAGATAGATAGTTAGATAGATAGATAGATGAAGGTAAAGATATAATTGGAGAAAGGAAATTAGATTTTTTTTGATTAACAAACAAAGTATTAGATGTAAATGAAATATTTTATAGATATTATAATTAAATTATATTAATTAATTGTTATTGATTATATTCAATAATATAATATAAGATTAAAGTATGGGAGAGGAAATCAAAA